GCATAGCGTCTTCTGGCCGCCCCATGGCACGCGCCTTGGCACGTCCCGTGCCAAGTCCCTGACACGTCCAGGGCACGTCCCTTGATACGTCCACTGACACGCCCCCTGGCGCATCCTCTATTGCGCCCCTTGCATATCCTGTGGCGCGTCCGTGAGCCTGTGCCCCGTCTCGTGTGTCTTTTTCGGAGCTGAATCGGATTTTGAGGTCGAGTTGATTGAATGTCCCGCACGTTTCCATTTCAACTAGCCCTGGGGCAGCTACTATGTGGTCAGGCAGCTCGGGCTTAAAATCCATATCAGTTCGGTCAGGGCTCGGATGTCAAGGAGGGCTCGATCCACAACGCAATAGAGCACAATCGCGGCATGGCACATCGCAATTTAGCACGGCGCAGCAGAGCACAGCCCTTGGCACGGTACATTAAGATCGATACATTCAGCCTCGCGACTTGGCACCTTCCTTGGCGCGTTCCGTGGCGCGTCTCATGGCGAGTCCCCCTGGCACGTCGCGCGACGCGTTCCCTGGCGCGTCCCTTGGCACGTTCCGTAGCGCGTCCCTTTGGCACGTCCCGCGGTGCGTCCCCATGGCACGTCCCCTGGCACGACCCCTAGCGCGTCCCTTGGGACGTTCCGCGGCGCGTCCCCCTGGCGTGCCCCCCTGTCAATTTGCCCTGGGGCAGCTACTATGTGCTCAGGCAGCTCGAGCTTACGTAAGATCCAGATCAGTTCGGTTAAAGACTCGGATGCAAAAGGGGGGGTCGATCCACAACGCAACAGAGCACAATCGCGGCATGGCACATCGCAATTCAGCACGGCGCAGCACAACACAGCCCTTGGCACGGTACGTCAAGATCGATACACTCAGCATTCGGGGGCGCCCAGATGGATTTTCACCCCGGATCCGCTCTAGGGTGAAAATTCATCTGGGACCCCCTCATTTCATAACGGCAGTCTCGGGGAGAAGGGGGGTGTACCCGAGCTTCGGAAATCGCAATACTCCAAAGAAATTTCTGATTGGGGTATTTTTTCCTCGCAGCTGAGCCCTCCCGCCCAATATCGGGAGCGCCTAGATGGGTTTTTCAAGGGTGAAAATTAATGTGAGACCTCCCCCAATGCAAAACAGCGCTGTCGCGCATAAGGAGGGGGTGTGTCCTACCCCAAAGATGATTGTTTTCGACATGCAATCTCTGATTGGGCTGCTTTTTCCTCGCGGCTGGGCACACTCGACAGCTCGGGGGAACCCCAGATGGATTTTCACCCGGGAGCCGTTCCAGGGTGAAAATCGATCGGCCTCCCCAATGCAAAGCGACTTCTCGGGGAGCCACAAGGAACCGAAGACAGCGCAATGAGGCCTTCTGCAAGGAGCCCTATAAGGCCTTTTGTAAGGAGAGTAAGGAGCTCAATAAGGCCTTCTTTCAGGAGCCAAAAGAAGCCTTCTGTAAGGAGCCCAGTAAGGCCTTCTGTAAGGAGCCCAGTAAGGCTTTCTGTTAGGAGCCCAATAACAAGGCCTTCTGTAAGGAGCCCGATAAGGCCTCCTGTAAGAAGCTCAATAAGGCCGCTGTTAAGGAGCGCAATAATGCCTTCTGCAAGGCGCCCAATAAGGCCTTCTGTAAGGAGCCCAATCAGGCTTTCTGTAAAGACCCCAGTAAGGCCTCTGTAAGGAGCACAATAAGGCCTTTTGGGATACTCTCCTGAAGAGGCCTCACATGGGATTTCACCCCCGCGGGTCCCAGAAAGAATTCTGGAACTCGCCACGGTGAATTTCACGCTTCCAGAATAATCCCGGAACTATTTCAAGTGATTCTGGGATCTGAAACGTTGGATTGTGTCGGCGTCGGCGTCGGCGGCGGCGTCGTCGTCGTCGGTCATCGTCATGGCGTCGTCGTCGGTGTCGGCGTCAGCGTCGTCGGCAATGTCGTCGTCGTCGGTCGTCGTCGTCTTCGGCGTCGGCGTCGTCGTCGTCGGTCGTCGTCGGCGGCGTCGTCGTCGTTATGGTGGTCGTCGTCGGCGTCGGCGTCGGCGTCGTCGTCATCATCGTCGTCGGCGTCGTCGTCAACGTGGTCGTCGTCGGCGTCGGCGTCGTCGGTCGTCGTCTGTCGTCGTCGTCGTCGTCGTCGTCGGCGTCGTCGTTGTCGGCGTCGCCGTCTGCATCGACGGCGCCGTCATCGTCATGATCGTCGGTTATCGTCGTCGGCGTCATCGTCGTCGTCGTCGGCGTCGGCGTCGTCGTCGTCGGCGTCGTCGGTCATCGTCGCCGTCGTCGTCAGCGTCGTCGGTCGTCGTCGTCGGCGGCGTCGTTCGCGTCGACGGCGCCGTCGGCGTTGTCGGCGTCGGCGTCGTCAGTCATCGTCGTCGTCTTCGGCGTCGGCGTCGTCGTCGTCGTCGGCGTCGTCGTGGCGTCGTCGGTCATCGTCGTCTTGGTGGTCGTCGTGGTCGTCGCGGGCGTCTGCGTCGGCATCGGCGTCGGCGTCAGCGTCGTCGGCGTCGTCGTCGTCGTCGGCGTCGTCGTCATCGGTCATCGTCGCCGGCGGCGTCGAAAGTATCGGCATCGGCGTCGTCATTGGCGTCGGCGTCGTCGTCGGCGTCGTCAGCGCCGTCGTCGGCGTCGGCGTCATGGTGGTCGTAGTCGGCCTCGGCGTCGGCTTCGGCGTCGTCGTCGTCGGCGTCCTCGACGTCGTCGGCGTCGTCGTCATCGTCGTCGTCGTCGGTCGTCGTCGTCGCCGTCGTCATCGGCGGAGGCAGCGTTGGCGACGGCGTCGGCGTCGGCGTGGTCGCCGTCGGCGTGGGCGTCGTCGTCGGCGTTGTCGGCGTCGTCTTCATCGGTCCCGTCGTCGTCGTCGGCGTCTGCGTCGGCGTCGTCGCCGTCGGCGTCGTCTATCGTCGTTATCGTCATCGTCGTCGGTCATCGTCGTCATGATGGTCGTCGTCGGCGTCGGCGTCGGCGTCGGCGCTGGTTTCGTCGGCGTCGGCGTCGTCGTCGTCATCGGCGTCGTCGGTCATCGTCGTCGTCGTCGGTCGCCGTCGTCGTCGGCGGCGTCGTTCACGTCGGCGGCGTCGTCGGCGTTGTCTGCGTCGTCTTCATCGGTCATCGTCGCCGCCGTCGTCGCCGTCAGCGTTGGCGTCTGCGTCGGCGTCGGCGTCGGCGTCAGCGTCGGCGTCGGCGTCGTCGGCGTCGTCGTCGGCGGCGTCGTCAGCGTCGTCGTCGTCGGCAGCGTCGGCGTCGTCGTCGTCGGTGTTCGTCGTCAGCGGCGTCGAAAGCATCGGCGTCGGCGTCTGCATCGGCGTCGTCGTCGTCGTCGTCATGGTGGTCGTCGCCGGCTTCCGCGTCGGCGTCATCGTCGTCGGCGTTCTCGTCGTCGTCGGCGTCGTCGTCATCGTCGTCGCCGGTCGTCGTCGTCGTCGTCGTCGTCGGCGGAGGTTGCGTTGGTGTCGTCGTCGGCGTCGTCGTCGGCATCGTCGGCGACCTCGTCGTCGTCGGCGTTGTCGGCGGAGGCGGCGTTGGCGTGGGCGTCGGCGTCGTCGTCGGCGTGGGCGTCGTCGTCGGCGTTGTCGGCGTCGTCGGCGTCGGTCATCGTCGTCGGCGTCGCCGTCGTCGGCGTCGGCGGCAGCGGCGTCGTCGTCGGCATCGTCGGCGTCGTCGTTGTCGTCGGCGTCGTCGTCGTCGTCGTCATCGTCGTCGGTCATCGCCGTCGTGGTGATAGGCGTCGGCTTCGGCGTCGGCGTTGGCTTCGTCGGCATCGGCGTCGTCGTCGTCGTCGTCGGTCGTCGTCGTCGTCGGCGGCGTCGTTCGCATCGGCGGCGTCGTCAGCGTTGTCGGCGCCGTCTTCGTCATCGTCGTCGTGGTCGTCAGGGACGGCGTCTGCGTCGGCGTCGGCGTCGGCGTCAGCGTTGGCGTCGGCGTCGTCGGCGTCGTCGTCGTCGGCGTCGTCGGCGACGTCAGCGTCGTCGTCGTCGTCGTCTGCGTCGGCGTCGTCGTCGTCGGTCGTCGTCGTCCGCGGCGTCGAAAGCATCGGCGTCGGCATCGCCATCGGCGTCGTCGTAGGCGTCGTCGGCGTCGTCGTCATGGTGGTCGTCGTCGGCTTCGGCGTCGGCGTCGGCTTCGGCGGCGTCGGCGTCGTCGTCGTCGTCGCCGTCGTCGTCGGCGGAGGCGGCGTTGGCGTCGGCGTCGGCGTCGGCGTCGGCGTCGTCGTCGTCGGCGTGGGCGTCGTTGTCGGCGTTGTCGGCGTTGTCGGCGTCATCGTCGTCGGTCATCGTCGTGGTCGTCGTCATCGTCGTCGTCGTCGTCGTCGTCGGCGTTGGCGGCGTCAGCGTCGGTGGCTTCGGCGTCGTCGTCGTCGTCGGCGTCGTTGTCGTCGTCGTCGGCGTCGTCGTCGGTCGTCGTCGTCGTGGTGATCGTCGTCCGCGTCGGCGTCGGCGTTGGCTTCGACGGCGTCGGCGTCGTCGTGGGCGTCGTCGGTCATCATCGTCGTCGTCGTCTCGTCGGTCGTCGTCGTCGTCGTCGTCGTCGTCGTCGGCGGCGTCGTTCGCGTCGGCGGCGGCGTCCGCGTTGTCGGCGTTGTTGGCGTCGTCGTCATCGGTCATCGTCGTCGTCGTCAGCGTCGTCGTCTGCGTCGGCGTCGGCATCGTCGTCGGCGTCGTCGCCACCCTCGTCGTCGTCGGCGTCGGCGTCGTCGTCGGCGGCGTCGTCGGTCGTCGTCGTCGGCGGCGTCGAAACCATCGGCGTCGGCGTCGAAAACATCGGCGTCGGCGTCGGCATCGGCATTGTCGTCGTCGGCGTCGTCGTTATGGTGGTCGTCGTCGGCTTCGGCGTCGGCGTCGTCGTCGGCGTCCTCGTCGTTGGCATTGTCGTCATCGTCGTCGTCGTCGGTCGTCGTCGTCGTCGGCGGAGGCGGCGTTGGCGTCGGCGTCGGCGTCGGCGTTGTCGGCGTCGTCGCCGTCGGTCATCGCCGCCGCCGCCATCCGCCGGCGTCCGTCGCTCGTCCAGGGCGTCCATTCCGCCGGTCCTGGGCGCGGGCGCGCCAGCAGCTCTTCGGCGGTCTCGCCGCCCGCGTCCCCACCGAGCACCAGGGAGTCGACGCCGCCGGGGGAGGGCCGCACCTCTGGGCTGCGGGGGACGGGGGAGGAGCGAGGCAGGAAGGGCCGGAAGTTCATCATCATCATCATCATCATCATCATCATCATCATCATCATCATATCATCATCATATCATCATCATCATCGTCATCATCACCATAATATATTCATCAGCATCACCATGACCATCACCAGCATCATCATCATCGTCGTCATCATCTCATCATCATATCATCATCATGTCAGCATCGTCATCATCCTACTATCATATCATCATCATCATCATCGTCATCATCATCATATCATATCATCATCATCACCATCACCATCGTCATAATCATCATATCACCATCATATCACCATCATCATCGTCATCATCATCATCATATCATCATCAGCATCGTCATCATCATCATCACAATCACCATCACCACCACCATCATCATCATCGCCATCATCATCTCGTCATCATATCACCATAATACCATCATCATATCACCATCATATCATCATCAGCATCGTCATCATCATCATATCATCATCATCAAAGTCAGCATCACCATCATCACCACCATAATCATCATCGTCATCCTCATATCATCATCATATAATCATCATGCCACAATCATCATCGTATCATCATCATATCATCATCATCATATCATCATCATGCCCATCATCATCATATCATCATCATGTCATCATCATACCATCATCATACCATCACCATATCATAATCATCATCATCGTCATCATCAGCATCATCGCATCATCATCATCATCACCATCATCATCACAATCATCTCATCATCCTATTGCCATCATATCATCATTATCATCATCATCGCCATCATATCATCACAATATCATCATCATCGTCATCATCATCATATCATATCATATCATCATGGTCATCATCGTCATCATCAAGTCATCATCATTTCATCATCGTATCATCATCATCGTCATCATCATCATATCTTCATCATTGCATCAGCATCATCATCCGCAGCAGCATCATCATCACCATCACCGTCACCATCACTATCATCATCACCGTCATATCATCATCATATCATCATCCTACCATCATCATCGTCATCATCATCATCATATTATCATCATCATCACCATCACCATCATTCTCATCAGCATCGTCATCATCATCTCATCATCATATCATCATCACCATCATCATATCATCATATCATCATCATTATCACCACCATCATCATCATCATCGCCATCGTCACCATCATCTCATCACCATATCATCATCATATCATCATCATATCATGATCATAGCATCATCATCATCGTCATCATCATCATCATCACCACCATCATCAGCATCATCGTCATCATCCGCATCATCATATCATCATCATGCCATCACCATCATCATATCATCACCATATCATCATCATCATCATCGTCATCATCATATCACCACCATCATCATCACCAACATCATCATCATCGTCATCATCGTCTCATCATGATATCATCACCATATCATCATCATATCATTATCATCATCATCCTCATCATCGTCATCATCATCATCGTCGTCATCATCATATCATCATCATATCATCATATCATCATCATGCTCGTCATCATCGTCACCATCATCGTCATCATCGTATCATCATCATATCATCATCATAGTCATCATCACCATCACCATCATATTATCATCATCATATCATCATCATATCATCATCATCACCATCACCATAATCACCATCATATCATCATCATCATCATCGGCATCATCATCTCATCATCATATCATCATCGTATCATCATCATCATATCATCATAATATCATCGTCATCATCGTCAACATCATCATCATCACTGACATCATCATCATCATATCATCATCATCATTTCATCATCATCATCATCGTCATCATCATCTCGTCATCATATCATCATCATATCACCATAATATCATCATCATATCCTCATCATCATCGTCGTCCTCATCATCATAATATCGTCATCACCCTCATCATCATCATCATTCCATCATCATATCATTATCATCATCATCATCGTCATCATCATCCTATCATCATCATCATCGTCATCCTATCATCATCATATCATCATCGTCATCGTCATCACCATCTCGTCATCATATCATCATCATCTCATCATCGTATCACAGTCATCATCATTATCATCATCATATCATCATCATATCATCAGCATCATCGTCATCATCATCATGTCATCATCATCATCATCATCATCCTCATCCTCATCCTCATCCTCATCATCATCATCATCATCATCATGATCATATCATCATCATCATCATCACCACCATCATCATCATCATCATCAGGGGCGGAGGTCCAGACGCTGCAGGTGCCAGCGCTCAAGCCCACGCAGCGTCAACATCCGCGGTCAGGACGCTGCTGTTCAGCGTTTCGTGGCGGCGGCCCCTGCGACACGCTGTGCCTCGCAAGCTGCCAAGCGTGTCGCTCTGCTTCGTGGGACGGGAGGCTGGGAAAAGCTCGGCACGTTGATACCTGGGGAGGGGGAACAGGATGGGGGAGGTCAAAATGGCAGGACGGAAAAGGGGAGGAGGCCGTGGAGGCTGATCGAGGCTCAAGGTTCTGGGACGTCCCTGGGGCCTCCAGGAACGCGCCGTGGCCGCAGCTGGACGCAGCAGGGGGGGAAAAAAACCTCCCTCCTTCCCGTCCCCCTTTCGGTGTCGCTCCTCTCGCTGCTGCCTCTTTCCCTCCCTCCCTCCCCTCCGCCCCCTCCTCCCCTCCCCCTCCTCCTCGGCACGTCCAGAGGCCTCCCAGAAGCCCGAGAAGGACCTCGAACGTTCACCAGCTGCACAAACATGAATTGGCGGAATTCCGCGCGGATGTCTTGGACCAGCGCTGGACCCCTCCTCCCTGGCGCGCGCAGCGCGCCAGGGGCGGCGCCGGAGGCCCCGCCAGGAGGGGCCACGACAAATCCAGGAACTCAGCATAGGGATCCTGCGCGCATCCAAGACGTCCGCGCGGACCTCGGACAATTTTTTATGCTCGTGTCGCTTCTCTCCCCCTCGATCACTGCAGGGGTCAGGCTCAAGACGTCGATCCGCCCCCTCTAGAGGGCAGAAAATCCACCCCGATAATAACCACCCCGACACGCGGAGCCGTTTAGTAAACGCACCCAAAGAAGGAATCAAACAGGGCAGGGTTTCTCGTAAACGTCCAGGGCCGTTTCTCTCCCTTGACCCTCCCCCGACCCCCGATCCCCGCCAGTGCCCGGGGAGGCACGCTTCCCCCCGCGCACCCGCGTCTCCAGGGCCGCCGCGGCCTCGCGGAGGCCCACGCCGTGGCGGCTGCTGCTGGTGGCCCACTCGCCGGCGTCGCTGCCGAGCACCACCGTGGCGCTGCCGCCGGTGCGCGGGCGCAGCCTGGGCCGCCACTCGGCACACTTCTCGCGAAAGGAGGAGGAAGAGGAAGAGGAGGAGGAGGAGGGGGAGGAGGACCAGTATAAATCCCAAATGCGTCAACGATGCTGAAACAGACCGTCCCTCAAAATTCCCTCCTCATAGGTCCCGACAAAAATTCGTCTTCGATGCGGAAAATGGGCAATTGGAAGACAACCGTCTGAGAATCCTTAGTCGTACCAGAACGCATTTCCTGGGAATTCAACGCCGCGGATCCACATGACTGTTGCGTCCTGAGAAACCAACGTCTTGCCCGCACACCATTCCTGGGACTTCAACCGTACAAATCCTTGACACTGTCGCAGATGCTTGATACGAATGTGTGCGGGTCTACAGCGATAGCCACATATTGACGAGGAGCCGCCCTCCATCCTTGAAGCTGGTGCAAAGGTTTCAAACGAATGCCCGCGGCGCAAAAGCGAGAACCACATGTTGAAAAAGACCTGTCCTCCATCTGTGAACATGCTGCAAACATTCAAAATTGATGTGCGCGGTGTTAAAGCGAGAACCACATTGAAAAAAAACGCCGTCCATCCGTGCAGCAGCTGCAACTTTCAAATTTCAGGATCATATGAACGGTGAGGGTGTCTCAAGTGAAACGCCGGGCCCGCCCTAATTACCCAAAACCAAGATGAGCTACGAGTGCACGGACACCTTGTTGCGACCTACCTGCGTACCCCGTAGAGACCCACTTCATCGACATGACCATCGAGACCGACCACATGCGTCGAGGCGCCGTCTGGCGTACGCTGTCAGGAAATACCAATCGGCAACTGCCATGGACATCGCCATCCTCCTCAATTCCGACTCGCACCGCAACAATATTTTCGGTTGGAATGCATGGGGCGATTGACATGGGAACGACTGGAGCGATTGGAATCGCGCCCGTGCCGACGCCAGCACCCTCAACGACCAGCACTGCCAGGAGGAACCCAAATACACGGGGGAACGACAGGGGGGATAGCAAAGTGCAGGGTAGAGAATCAGCTCACGTGGCTGATTTTCCCAGTGCCTCCCGGCGCCGGGAGGCGCCCATGTATCGAGGAATGGGCCCGGCGGCGGGGCCGAAACCAGCTGCATGCAGCAGATTTCGCACCCCCCCCTTTCCCTATCCCCCCCTTTCGTTCGGCCCGATCCGTGGCCCCCCTACGTGGCCCCCCTTCCTTGTAGAGGCCTTCTAGATGGAGTCCGGAAGTACATGGGGTCGAAGGATCTCGCCGCATCGGCGGCGTCGGTGGCCCTCCTCGGCGGCTGGACCTCCCTGAACACGTCCTCCAACAACTCTCATGGAGCAAAGTTGTTCAAAGGGTTTTGGGAGGGGTTCTCCTTGGCTGCCGGGAAGACGCTCTGAAATACCCATATCAAGGAGGTCTCTGCGAGGAGGACGGCGACGCCGACGCGAACGACGAGGGAGATGGACTGCGCTCCGCGGAGGTCCACCCGCTGGTGCCGCCGCCCGTGCAGGGCGTCGCCTACCCCGTGGCGGACCGCCGTGCGCAAAGGAAACCGCGGCAGCCTTTTGCGAGCAGCCGCTGCACGCCGAGCCACCGCGACTGTCCGCTGCACGTGCGAACCACTCCTTGCTCTGGCTCTGGGTCGGGCCTGTCCCCCCTACAGGGGGATTTGGGGCAAAAACTGAATGCTCAAAAGTAAGGAAAAACATCGTCCCCCGATTATTGTTCTACTACTTTGAATATTCCCCTTGTAGAGGGACAGGCCCGACTTAACACTGGCTCCAGCGGACGCTCCAGCCTGACACCGGGGCACCCGGGAGCGGCCGCCCAGCGAGCCGCCGAGACGCCCGTGCGGCTTGCCGCGAGCGACGGCTCGGCCTCCGCTGCGGCCGAGGCCACATCGGCGCCGGCGCTGGCGCCAACGGCAACACCGATGCCATCGCCAGAGCCGAGAGCGACACCGACCACCTGGAGAACGACTCCAAGACGAACTGTCACAAGGAGGAGGAGGAACAGGCAAACAAGCAAGACCTGGCAGTCGATGTCCTCCGCTCCATTGCCCACCTCTGCTGGGTGTGCTGAGAAGCAATAACAAAAACGCCGCTGGTGACGTCAATGCGCATCTTGAGCTAGCTTTCAGGACTCCATGGTCCAAAAGGACATTCATCATTGCACCAGCCTTGCAGACGTGCTGCAGCGAATTTCTGCGTGGATTTCTGCCCGAAGCGGCGAGCGAAAAACGAAGTGAGTTTCGCGTGGATTTTTGTTTGGTCTTCATTCCTGGCCAAAACGAATCCGCACGAAATTCACCTCGAAATCCGGAACGAAATTCTCCAGGACACCCCGGGCCCACCCCATCGTTTTCCGAACGAAATCCGCTCTGCGATGTTGGCGCCATGAGACATTCAGAGCCCGCGACAGCACGAAGGCGAACCACACTACAGTGTGGGCGCGGCCGCAAGAAACCCTCGCAAGAAACCCAACCCTGAAAACCCGCGCGCGAGGTGCACCTGAGGGGTAACCCGGAGCACCCTGAACGCAGCAGCTTCTCCAAGGGCTGCGGGAAGTCACCGCGCAGCGCGCGGAGCGAAGAAACTCAGGAGTCCCTGACGAAAAGCGGATGGTTTCTTGATGCGCGCCCCCACTGCACAGTCAGCGCGCCAAGAGACGAGGTTGAGAGCACTTGGGCCCGTCGCCTCGACCGCGGGGCTGACGGGTGCGGAGGGAGGCCCCCAAGGAACTGAGGGCCACGGGAGAACGCGGGAGCAGTGCTGCAGCCTGTTTGGGCCGTCCTTGACTTGTCACTGCACCGACCTTGCAGACGTGCTGCAGCGGATTTTTGAATGGATTTCTGCCAAATCAAAACCCCGAAGCGGCGAGTGAAAAACGAAGTGAATTTCGGGTGGATGTTTTGTTGGTCTTCATTCCTGGCCAAAAAAATCCGCACGACATTCACCTCGAAATCCAGAACGAAATTCTCCAGGACACTCCGGGCCCATCCTATCGTTTTCCGAAATCCGAACGAAATCCACTCTGCGATGTCGGCGCGATGGGATTTGTGCTGTTCGTGCGCCGTCGTGCGAATCACGGAAAGCGCGCGTAGCGCCGCGATCCGTTAGTCGGGAACAATAACATGGGGGGGATGGGGGGGCAAACAGCCCGGGCGTCAGATGATGGAAAACGCGCGTAGCGCCACGATCCGTGAGTCGGGAAAAATCTCACCAGCCCTCTGGGCGTAGGTGGTCCAGGGCGGCTCCTCTTCCAACCCCCTTTTTCCCCTTCGGGGAGGGGTTCATCACTGTTCTTTATTGATATACACCCCCTACCCCATGCGACGGGCGTCCCACCAGGAACCATGAAGACACCATGCCGACCCGCCCCCAACCATCACCGTCAAGAAACAATGCAAACCGCACTTTGCCTCCACATTTGGAGCTTGCGCGGCCAAACCGATGCTCCCCCCCACCGTCCCTGTCAAAAAAACAATGCAACATACACTCTGGGGCAAAGTCTTGAGTCATGTTCGTGAGGCCCGCGACCACTTTGTATTGTTTCTGGCAAAGACGGCGGGGGTGCCAACATATTCCCTGCTGTGCGCGGGGCCACCATCCCTGACAACAAAAAAAACAGTACAACATGCACCTCGTGGCTAAATCTGGATCGTGGGATCACTGTCGAATCCCAGCAGCCCTCTGGGCGTAGGTGGTTTAAGGGGGTTTCCTTTTCCAATATTTTTCTTCCCCTTCGGGAAAGGTTTTTTCACTTTTCCCTACTAGTATACCCCCCCCCAGGCGACTGGGAGCCAACCCGAGACAATGAAGGCCCCCCGTCACCATCCCTTTAAGCAACAAGACAAAACACACTCTGCCTCCAAATTCGGAGCATGCGCCGTGAACCCGATGCGGTTTCCCCCCACCATCCTTTTCAAAAAACAAGGTGCAGTACACTTGGCGGCGGCGGCGGCGGCTGCGGCGGGGGCAGCGGCTGCGGCGGCTGCGGCGGCGGCGGCTGCAGCGGCGGCGGCGGCGGCGGCGGCGGCTGCGTCGGCAGCGGCAGCGGCGGCAGCGGCTGCGGGGGCGGCGGCGGCGGCGGGCGGCGCCGTGGCAGCGGCGGCGGCGGACATCGGCGGCGGCGGCGGCGGCGCGGCGGCGGCGCGGCGGCGGCGGCGGGCGGCGGCGGCGGCGGTGGCGGCGGTGGCGGATTCGCCCCCGGTGCCTGCCCATCCAAACGCGACTGCCGCATATGCTGCGGATCGGGCCAGGCTCGGGTGCTACGTACGTGTTGGGGGAAAGGCGGGTGGGAGTGAACGAAACGGCTCGCGGGCGGGGAGGGAGTCTTGATCACTGTTCCCTATTAGTAAACACCCCCTACCCCAAGCGACTGGGGGCCAACCAGGGTCCATGACGACCCCCTCCACCATTCCTTGTAAATTATCCCGGCAAAGCAACCTAACAGCGATGTGTAGAAGCGTATCTGAAAGCATTCCCCTTAAGATTCAGATGAAAATCCAGTTGTAGAATTCTGCTTTTCTCGCAGTCGTAGTCGCATTCGCGATGACAGTCGCAGCGGCAACGGCAGTCGCATTCACAGCCTCAGCCTCAGCCTGCCTCAGCCTCAGCCTCAGCCTGCCTCAGCCTCAGCCTGCCTCAGCCTCAGCCTCAGCCTGCTCAGCCTCAGCCTCAGTCTGCCTTCAGCCTCGGCCTCAGCCTCAGCCTGCCTCAGCCTCAGCCTGCATCAGCCTCAGCCTCAGCCTCAGCCTGCCTCAGCATCAGCCTGCTTCAGCCTCAGCCTCAGCCTGCCTCAGCCTCAGCCTCAGTCTGCTTCAGCCTCAGCCTCAGTCTGCCTTCAGCCTCGGCCTCAGCCTCAGCCTGCCTCAGCCTCAGCCTGCCTCGGCCGCAACATCAGCCTGCCTCAGCAGCTAGTTGGCTGCCCCCCAGGGCAATTTAACGGGTGCTCACGCGCACCTGCGAAAACAAATTCTCATACGCAACGGGCACTCGGCTCGGGCCA